TCACCTTGGGTAACCCCGCGGTACCGCCGTTGCCAGGAACGGCGATGATGGATTCCACATATGGCGATTGGGAGAGCTTCCAGGCAAGGGCGTGCTCGCGGCCACCGTTGCCGACCAGCAGGATCCGAAGAGACGACATTTTTGAGTTGTGTTGGGGGTGGTTGTCACACTTGCGTGACTGGAGCAAAGTGAGTCGTCCCTGACCCAGCAGCGCTCTCGGATTGCCCCTCCATTTCTGTCAAAATGAAAATCCGGGGCAGAGAAATTTTACCCCTCCCCCGCGCTTGTTATCGACAGGGCACCGCTGATTGGCCAATTCCTGTCTGATTAGCGGATAGGGACGGAGTACGTACCTTGAGAGAAAGAGAAAAAAAAAAAAAGCTCAGCATGTGAGTCGGGCTGTGGAAAAGCTGGACGCAATAGCTGATGATAGGGTGAACACTGGAGCTCTCTGTGAGCTGTCGCTGAGTTCTGGCTCTCACCAGCCTTAGCGTTATGCTTCAGGGCGCGCCTTGCTCTCAGTACCAACCGAGCTGTCCAATTTCTGATCTTCACACTGCTCTATTGTGAAACCAGGGTTCCCGACTTGTTCGCCAACACCATTTTGAAACTCTCAAGGGTTGCATGAAGTGAGGAATGCAAAAACTACAAAAATGAATGATGAGAGTGGGATTCGAACCCACGCCCTTTCGGACCACGGAATCTTTTGAGAAGATGTTGATTAAGGAAGACCTTAACGTGGCGCCTTAGACCGCTCGGCCATCTCACCGTACTGATTTGTTGAAAGACAAGCCCAAAGCGACGGCTCATGATGCTGCTCAAGGTCAACCGACCAAGCGCATGTTCAAGACCAACCGTCCACAAGAGCTCCTCATATGTCCCATAATGCACGAGGTCTTTCAAAAGATAACATCAGTCTTCAAATCATATTCATAACATGTCAAACAAAACAAACAACCCAGCCAGTCATGCTATCCTTCCAGCCCGCCATCCCATATGTTCATCCCTACACCACTATCCAACACCATCATCCCCGGGCATTCACAGAGTGTCCTCACCCTCATCTTCCTCATCCTCATCCAGCAACTCACTGACCAAACTCTTATCATCTCCATCCTCCTCCGCATCATCTTCCTCAATACTCTTCATCACCGGCTCCGTCCTGCTCAACACAACCGTTGCCTCCTCCTCCTCTTCATCCTCCTCCTTGATGATGCTCCCTGCCCTGGATGAAACAACTGAGCCCTCCCTTCCAGCATTGTTTCCAGCACCAGCACCGGCCACACTCCCCAGCCCAACAGAACTAGCCCTGCTAACGCTCCTCCTGTACCTCTGTACTTGACCTTCAGCCGAGTTCATTTGCGCCGCCACAGCAGCAGCATCAAGCTGGTTGACAATCTTGCCAAGCCCAACATGCAATTTGTACAGAGAGTTCCGACTCGTCGCATCAGTCAAAAGACCATTCTCAACAGCCTCACAAACCAGGGCATAGATGTCTCTAGTGAGCTCCTCACTTGAGGCCGGAGACACATAAAGTTTGCCAAGCAGCGCAGCAATAATCTTCTTTTCCTCTCCTGTCGTCTCGTTAGCACTCTCCACACGGCCAAACGTGAGAGGGAAACGGATCAAACTTACTCGGCACACTGCCAGACAACCTCTCCAAAATCCCCCTCGCAAACTCCAAATGCACATCCGCATTCACATTCTTCCTCTCCCCCTCCACCCCCTCCTCCTTGCCCGGGTAGTAACACTTCCTCGGATCCGTCCAGTCCACCAAGCAAGCGCCAATCGTCGCCAAACTCACCATCTCCTCATCCACATCCGCGTCATCATCCTCCAGCCCCTCCCTCACATTATACAACGTGTGCAGCGCATCCAGCGCAACAATCCTCATCAAGTCCTGATTCTCCGCCCGACTGTAGCAAAACACCGGCAGGAAATAATTCAGCGCCTGCCTGACAGACTGGTTGTCACTGCTCGCCGGCTCAAAGTACGCCACAACCAACGTCTTGAGCAGCTCCGCAGAAAAGTCATGATCAGAAATCACCCTCCCAAGCAGCAACTTCGACACCGCCACCGTAGCAGAAGCCTGCACCTCAGGATGCCTCGCCCCCGACCTCAAAGCCTTGATGTAGACCTTCAACAGTGTAGGGTTAGCAGACAACAGCTGTGACCCATGCACATTCAAAATGTCCGTCAAGATGTTCAGCGCCGTAATCTGCAGCGCCGTATGCCCCTTGCTAAAAAAGTGCATAAACAGCGTCAAATTCTCCTCCGCCAGCGACCTATCCAACAACGAACACAAACCCAGACAGACCAGACCCCTCTCCCGCACAGGCGCCTCGTGGGAACGGACAGCTGGCACAACAAGATTGTTAAGCATTGAAACCAAGTGGTCGTTTTGCTGGAGATCGCCCGTCACGTTGGCGAGCATGCACTGCACGATATGCAAGCACTTCATGTTGATCATGATCTCCTTGATCGCCTTCTTGGCCGCCTCCTCCTCGGACAGCGCAGGGACGTTCTTGTTCTTGGAGGATTTGGTCGGGGTGGTGTCGCCGTCGGGGGTGGACACCTCTGACTGAGCCGAGTGGAACGATTCATCGTCGTTATCGTTCTCGCTCGCGGGCGGCTCGTCGACGATGGTGTCGTGCACGTCGGCTACGGCTTCGAGGACGATGGAGCAGAATTCTTTTTCCCCGGCAGCGTCAGGGGCGCAAATGTCGCGGAGGACGTTGACAGTCAACTTGGTCACCTCGTCAGGGAGTTCGGGAATCGAGAGGGTCTGTCGGAGGAGGGAGAACATCTTGCGACGACCGACTTCATCAGAGTAGTCGAGCGTGAGGGCGATGTGGAGGAGCTGTTCTGCTATGAACTCCTGCTCCACCGTGTCCTCCTCCTCTTCCTCTTCAAGGTCTTCCTGCTCTTCGGCACGCTTGATGGCGTCGATCAGGACCTTGATGTAGCGCTCGAGGTAGAAGGCTACCTTGGTGACTTCGGGGAGCTTCTCCTCGACGAGCTGCTCAAACTTGCCGTTGCCCTCGCTGCGGCAAAAGTCGTTGAAGGTTCGGCAGACAAAGACGGACTCGGCGCTCAGAGTCTCGAAGAAGGTGTCGTCAAAGACCATGGCTTCTCTGTAGTCTGGACGACCTTCCCAGAAACCCTTCATGGCTTCAAGACCGATGCCGTTCTCGCCACCAGAGTTGATGACATCGATACGCTCCAACAACTCAAGGAGCGCGTCGAGGTTAGGGGGTGAAACCTCAGCCGGCTGACCGGTCTCAGCAGGCGGTGGTGTCCCCGCGCAATCCTCGATCCAGCGCTCACGGAACAGACGACCGGCCGCCTTACGGACGTTCTCATCTCTGTCGCGCAAGCCCCATCGGAGCAGCTTCTCCCTCATCGAAAGTGACAAGTGCCTAAAATCACCTAGCGCGGGAAGCAGCCGCGAATACACCGACCTCCTCGTCGCCGCATCTTGATCCCTCGCCCTCTCAAGCAGAAAAGGCAACGTCTTGGGCAGAATAGGCAGATTCACCAAAAGCGACCTCCTGACATCAGCGCTGGGATCGTTCTGCAACACCTCCAGCAACTTATCCAAGAGGCCACTGCCCGCACCACCCCCCTCGCTATCCTCCGAATCTTCTTCAGCCTCGACCTCATTCCCCGCCAGTCTCCCCAACCCGAGCACAGCCTGCACCCTCACCATGGCCTCCTTGTCCCGAATCCTCTTCAACAACCCCGACCTCAGCTTCTGAAACAAATCATCATCAATCGCATCCAGCGAGCTGATAATGTGTGAAATCAACTGCGTCGACCGATACCTCACAAACTTGTCCTTCGCCTGCAGCAACGGCAAAATCGTTGCCATCAGATACGTCGTGAGTCTCGTAGCAGGCGTCTCAGGCATAGTACTAGTATCCATATCCGCCTCGCCCGTAATCTCATTGTCCTTGTCAATCGCATGCCGCAAAAACAGCCCAATGAACCTGACCGTCTTCTCGCCTACCCCTTCCGACTTCTTGACGGGCATGACGCGCAGAACGCAGCGGACAAACTCGGTGTTGAAGTCATCCTCGTCAAAGTCGCCGAGGTTGGTAGTCGTGGCAGTTTTCTTGGTAGCCGTTGGCTCATAGCAGCAGGCTTCCTGCATCTTGCGGAGGGTGACGGCTAGCTTGCGGTGGGAGGCGGTGGTGCGCTGGGCGTCGCGGAAGACGGCGGCGACTTGCTGTCGGAGGGCGTTGTCGGGGCTTTCTTCGGGGATGTTGTAGTTTACGGCTGGGGAGGAGCGGGAGGTGGCTGTTGCTGTTGTGCTGGCGCGGGAGGTGGCGCCGCCGCCGGCGGTGGAGGAGCGGGTTGATCTTGTTGCTCGGGGGGCCATGCTGGCGACGGGGTTTTGTGCGCGCCGTGGGCTGGTTTCTAAATGTTCAAGTTGTATTTTTGATCCGGTTCAGGAATCGCATTGGGAGTGTCGTTGTGAAGGGTGTCGTCGTGTCGTAGGAGAATGGCAGTGGTTGTTACAGAAAAGGAGCCTGACAAGTGAATGGCGACTTTGCGAATGTTGTTTGTTTACCCAGCAATTTCCTGTTCGAGATTAGCGCGCGAAAGTTTGGAGGGGTATGACCCACAGCTTGGCAGGGACGTCTCAAGGCCTAACAAGATAACAGCGATACCGTCGACCATCTTCAACAGCCTTTCCAAGTAATATTAAAGGCCTTCAGACTATCTTTGGAGGTTTATTAAAAGTGTAAAGGCATGTTAACATCATGAAAGGCTTATTGCACTCTATGTAAGGCCTATCAATCATCTTTTAAGGCATCACGACTATCTTCAAAGGCCGTGATTCTAGCGGCAAGGAGCACGAAAGCCCCCACTTTTCGCACGATAAGCTTCTTATCAACCCACCTCCCTGGGGTTTTTTTTTCTTTCCAATTGTCAATTGAGCCAGGGACCAGCTCCTCGGAAAAACCACCAAAAATTCACATACCAAATTCGCAACAATGGGAGCAGATAAAAAACGCCAACGCGAGGACGGCCCCGTCGAGGCCACCACCTCTTCCACCGACCAATCCTCCTCCAACCCTAACAAAAGACCCAGAGTCGACAAAAACCGATCCCTCTTCGTCCGATCCCTCCCCCCATCAGCCACCAGCGAGTCCCTCACCAACTTCTTCTCCCAACACTACCCCGTCAAACACGCCACCGTCGTCCTCGACCCTAAAACCAAAACCTCCCGCGGCTACGGCTTCGTCTCCTTCGCCGACCCCGAAGATGCCATCGAGGCCAAGATCAAGCTCAACAACGAGCTCCTCGACGGCCGCAGGTTGAGGCTCGACATTGCCCAGCCCCGTCTCCGCGATGCCGCGAAGGTTAGCACCGAGGTCGCTGCAAGAGTCGTCACCGAAAAGCGCCAGCGGGAGGAGGAGCTGGCTGAGCAGAGAAAGGCGCCCAAGCTTATTATTCGTAACTTGCCTTGGAGCATCAAGTCGTCGGAGCAGCTTGCCAAGCTGTTCCAGCCTTTTGGCAAGATCAAGTTTGCGGATTTGCCCAATTCGAAGGGGAAGCTTTCTGGTTTTGGGTTCGTCACGCTTCGGGGTCGCAAGAATGCAGAGAAGGCGTTGGAGGCTATCAATGGCAAGGAGATTGACGGGCGGACGGTGGCGGTTGATTGGGCGGTTGATAAGCAGACTTGGGAGCAGCACAAGGAGGAAGAGGAGGGTGGTGAGGAGACCAAGACTGAGAAGAAGAAGGCCAAGAAGGCGAAAAAGGAGGAGGAGAAGGAAGAGGAGGAGGACCCGAACATGACACAGGAGGATCGCGATCTGGCGAATTTCTTCAAGAATTACGGCAAGAATCTCGAGGATGAGGTGGAGGATGATGATGAAGATGTCAACAGCGAGGACGAGGACGAAGATGATGACGAGGAGAAGGATTCAGACGAGGAGATGGACGAGGATGGCGATGCCGAGTTTGAGGATGCATCAGACGACGAGGAGGAAGAGGCAGAGCCGGAAAAGAAGCTGTCCACTGACAACTCCACCACCGTCTTCATCCGCAACCTCCCTTACACCGCCACCGACGAGCAGCTTAAGGCCCACTTTGAAACCTTTGGTGCAGTCAGGTACGCTCGCGTGGTCAAAGAGCGCGGCACCGACCGGCCCGCGGGTACTGGATTCGTCTGCTTCTTCAACCACGACGACTATGTCTCCTGCCTCAAGGGCGCTCCCCGTCGCCCTGCCCCCACGCTGGCCAAGCACTCCGTCCTGCAGGACGAAACCCTCGACCCCGAGGGAACGTACACCCTTGACGGCCGTATCCTCCAGGTTGCCCCTGCCGTTGACAAGAGCGAGGCTGCGCGGCTGCAAGAAATGAGCGCGTCCAAGAAGGACAAGGACAAGCGCCGTCTTTTTCTGCTTCAGGAGGGTCAAATCCCCGCTAGCTCGCCCGTTTTCAAGACGCTCTCCGATCAGGAGATCAAGATGCGTGAGGCGAGCGCGAAGCAAAGGAAGAAGCTTATTGAGAGCAACCCGGCGCTTCATATCTCGCTCACCCGCCTGGCGGTAAGGAATATTCCTGCTAATATGGACTCTAAGGCCCTGAAGGCGTTGGCCAGGGAGGCGGTGGTGGGTTTTGCGAAGGATGTCAAGGAGGGGAAGAGGGCGCCGCTTTCGAAGGAGGAGAATCTCCGGGGTGGTGAGCAGGATAAGGAGGCGGAGAGGCACAGGAAGGAGAAGGGGAAGGGGGTGGTTAAGCAAGCCAAGATTGTGTTTGAGACGGTGCAGGGGAGCAAGATTGATGAGAAGAAGGCGGAGGGAGGGGGGAAGAGCAGGGGGTATGGGTTTATTGAGTACACCTCGCACCGCTGGGCGTTGATGGGGTTGAGGTGGCTGAATGGTCATGCGATGAAGAATGAGGCGGGGAAGACGAGCAGGTTGATTGTGGAGTTTGCTATTGAGAGATGCGAATGTTGTGCAGAGGAGGAGGCAGCATGAGCAGAAGATTCGGGAGGAGGGGCCGAGGGCGCCGGGGTCGAGGGCGGAGAGGGAGAAGAGGGAGAGGGAGAGGGAGAGGGGGAGGAAGAACAGGTGGGAGAGGAAGGAGGAGAAGAAGAGGCCGGATACGTGGAATAAGAGTAGCAAGGGGAAGAAGAGTGCTGTTCCCAAGGAGGAGAAGGGTAAGGCGGAGCCGCAGACGAAGGAGGGGAAGAAGAATGCGGAGGCTAAGTTGGCCATGAGGACGAAGATTGTGGCGAGGAAGAGGGAAATGAGGAAGAAGAAGGCGGAGCTCAGGGGTGAGAAGTAAGGCTGATGGAGTTGTTTTGTGTATGGGCTTGAGAGAGATAGATTCGAGCGGTTGTTGTTAGCATTATCAAAGGGGTGTAATTCAATGAGGGTATTATCTGCGCCAATACACCGTCGTGTGTGTGCTCTGTCTACCATGAAATGGAGGCTTTTTACTGCTCGGGAGCCCAACTGAATCACATTTATTTTCATTCTGCCGTATTCCAACCGTTGGAGGTTATTTTGACTCGCATGATGATCTGACTCCTACACAAAATGATGCCAAAAGTATCTCTACTATATACCACCCTTTTCAGTCCGACACGACAAAGGTCCCAAGTATTATTGACAGAATGCGTCTTGTGATCATCCAAAAGGGGAAAGACGACAAGGTGCCCATCTTCCAGAAAGTCCTCTCTCCCCGTCCCCCATTTCACGCCTTCTCCCTCCCACTCCCCTCCCTGACTCCAAGCCAATACAACAAACCCCCCATCCCGACATTCACCCCCAAATGCACCCCCCCAGCCCAGGCAACGACATAAAGATACTTTGGGCTGAAAACCGTCCAAATAAACAAATGATCCCTCAACACCCCACAAGCCCCCATTACCGCAGCCGTCGCCGCGGCGATAAACACCGTCATGAGGGAGACGTGCAACTTGTACACATTTCCCTCTTCCCCTCCCCGCCGGCGGCTCAGCAGATGTTGTCGTTTGCTCAGCAGCAAAATCACCGTCGCCACCGCCCAATACACCGGCCCAGCCCAGTTCGACAAGAACGTCAATATCCCCACAAATGTCGCGTTGTACGTCGCGATCCCATTATACGCCGACGATAAATCGATCGAGCTGATGGCGTTGGAGCCGCCTTGTGCGAAGAACGAGGCGTACTGCAGCAGTAGACTCGACAGCGTAATCTCCCCCAGCTCCAACTCCGGTACATACGAGAGTAGTAGCCTGAACTGAAGATTATAAAGCAAAAAAAGCGGGATATCAGTAACCCGGCTCTGCGTCACCAAAAAAAGCGTCAGCACCGTCAAAGCAGTGAAAACCCCCGGCTGCCCCTGGCTAATCTGCTTCTTCGCCCCCATGAATCCCAGACTAGCAGCCATCAGAATCCCCAACCCGATAAACACCGCCCGCGCTCTCTCCACCAGCTCCCTCCCCCCACCACTGAAATTAATCTCCAGCAGTTTCTTCACAAACTCTGTCAACAATTCCGGCGCATCCTCCACCACAAAGGCAACCTTGAAGGTGAATGCCGCGAGCACAAGTCCAATCGACGTCGCAAAAGAAAGCCAGATTGGCAGGCTGGAGAGGCCAAAGGTGAGATGTTGCTGGATCCAAAAGTATGTTGCCCCGACTAGACACCATAACAGGACTGGGGACGTCTGGAGGTAGAGCGTGACAATGTCAGGCTCTCCAGCGAATTTCTGACCGGTTTGGTTCCAGGATCTGATGATGCGAGCTGCGAGGAGGATCACACCAAAGGAGACAGCATGGGCGATTGGGTGGGCTGTCTTGCGGTTGAGGCCCCGGACGAGGAGGTAGCCGAACCAGGCGGTTGTGCCCCAGTACCAGAAGTGCTGCTCCTCTTCGACGTAGCTGCTGGCGAACATCATTGCGCCGTAGGCGAGAGTGACGAGGGAGAAGGGGATGGATGGGAGGGTGGGGGAGGAGATGAGAGCGAGGACGAGGGCCGAAAGGGCGATTCCAAAACCGAGGAGCATTTGTGGAGTGTCATAGTTGCTCGCCATGCCGGAGAGGAAGGATTGGGCTTCGTGGAGCCACTGCTTTTGTTAGTCAAGGTAGTTGCGGGAAGAGACGGGGGGAACTTACGTTTCCTGCTTTGGGGATCATTTCCTGGTAAAGATCAGGACTGGCTCCTCGGTAGACTTGTTGATACAACTGCTCAAATTCCATGTAACCGGCAGCTAGCTTCTCATCGTCTGTCTCGGGCTTGCCGTCTTCCTTAAAGGACCACTCATACATCTTTTGGCCAAAAGCCGCGTGGGCCACCTGCATGATTTGATCCGCGTTGCGCATGAGAATCTCGGCCTTGACTTCACTGCTAGACCAAAACGGCAAAAAGTCAGGGATGGTCGCGCCGAGGTTGTTCTTGGAGATTGGAACGCCCATCAAGGCGGCAAGAGTGGGCGCCAGATCGGACTGCTCGACGGTGTCGTAGTACTGGAAGTCGGGGTTCTCTGGCAGCGGTGCTTGAAGTCTCTTGTTGAGCTTCTTGAGCTTCGGGGAGAGGAACAACAAGGCTGGGGATGTCTCTCCAGCGGAGGAGGCGCCGTGGTTGCCGGCGTCGTTCATGCCGTGGTCTCCGCAGACGACAAAGAGGGTTGACTTGAGGTAGTCTTTGGACTCGATGGCCTGGTAGATTTGCTTGACGATGCTGTCCATCTCGTGCTGCTTGTTGAGCATATGGGGGCTGTAACCGTCAGTACCACCAGCACCTGTCCGTTCACCAGCAGTGGCTTACCTCCTCGGCCCGCCCTTGTGCCCAATATGATCCAACCCAAGATAATGCAAAACCAGAGTATTCCAATCCTTCCTCTCCAGTTCCTCTGGAACATGCCTCGTGACGTTATTGTCGACCTCGGTAAAGTCCTACACAACCCCTCAGTCAGCCCCCTAAACCGCCTCTCACAGAGCCATCCCACCTACCGAAACAAAAAAGCTAGTCGTCCCCTCAAAGCGGTCAAACATGCCCGGAAACAGCTTCAACCATGTATCATCTCCGTACATGACCAGCTTCCCCTTCTTCTTCCTCTTCATCTGCGCCAACCACGTATCCTGCGACGCTAAGCTTGAGCTCTCATCCCCCTCATCCAGGTTAAGCACCACATCCAGGAACGAAGGAATAGACCCCGTGGTTATCGCCTTGAGCCGTGGCATCGTAACAGTCGGCGAAGTGGCATGTGCCGTGAACGGTAGAGCACCCCCATCGCGAATCAGTCTATTCCCTTCTCGGTCAGCCTTCCCCCCCCCCCCCATTTGCGCCGGACAGTATTCAGAGACGTACGATTGGGTAAATTTGAAGCCGCTGTTTGCTGTGTAGACAAAATCACTGTCGCAAAAGGGTCAGCATAAAGCGCACACTGTATGAAGAGGGGCTAAGGGGGGAAATACCTCCGCAACGCATCAACAACCATAAACACCAGCTTGTCAAACTGCGCCTTTGGTGGCTCGCCATAAACGGAGCTCTCGCCATACGTCGCAAGACCAGGGAGAAGTGGCTTGTAGGGAAAAAACCCCTTGCCAAAGACGAATATGGCGATTGGAACCAGAAGATTGGCTGCCACCAGCAGCAGAGTGCTCAAAATGCCGCCATCGCGACTGCGACGCGGCGACATGTCCAACTTTCTTACGCCGGTATCTGAGGCGCGCGTGAGCAGGAATTGAAGCTTAGTGGGGTATGGTAAGAGATGTCTTTTTTTCTTTTCCGAAGGAAATTCCAGTCTATTGCGTACAGCAGGCCATCCCCAAAAACTCCAAGAAGAAGAAAAAGAGACAATTGTCAACTCAGTTTTCAGAGATAAGGTTGAACATATCCATCTTGGTGCAGTTTGACCCCATGTCTTGGGATTTGGACCTTCTGGAATGTCTGAAGCAGCAGGCGGGGTTCGTGATTGGACGGAACCCTAGTCCAAGATTGGCCCCAGACGTCGAGGCCCCACACTTTGTCGCAAGCCGTTGCACCAAAACGGCAGGTCTGAACACCATGAGGAAGGTCTTTGATCAATCTTCGCAAGCTAGCAAATGGGGGAAAACTGTGGCATGACACAAATGTATTTCTCACGAGATGGTGCCCTCCTCTTCCGGGTCATTGCCACCGAGTGACTGTTGCTTTCCACCGAGGGTATCAGAACTCGCCTTGAATCAGACGAGCGTCGACTCCAACAATTTTCCACGACCCATTATTAACGCCAGAAAAATGACCAAACGCCTGAACCAGTCCAATGTTGCGCTGTCTCCATGCTGCGTGTGCCTCCGCTCCGTCAAGGCAATGACCCTTGGCCCCTTGTCTCTCCTCGCCCATTATAGGCTCAGAGCTGAGTGGCCAACTCCAAGTCTGAAGCTGGCCATGGCCCCGATGTGAATATTGACCTGTTGGGTATCAAAAAAGTAAAGCCTCTGAAAGACCACAAAACTCATTTCTTCTTGCTGTTGGTCTTGGGGCCCTTCTTGCGGAAGACAATGTTGGACTTTTTGCCTCTCCGCTTGCGCTCCTTCTCCTTGTATGGCGCCGCTGGCTTCTCATCAACCTCCATGGCAGCTGAATTATGTCAGTTTGAAATTCACTTGACTTCACTCCGAGAGTCAAACTCACCCTCCTCCTTCTCAGCCTCGACCTCCTTGGCCTCCTCATCCACGGGCTCTGCAGACAGTGTTAGCACATATTTACTCAGTTGTGTTAAATATTTCCAGACATACCGTCGTTCATCTCGACCTCCTTCACAGGCTTGGGCTGCGCAATGAGCTCTGCCAACTTGGCATGTAGACGCTCAGCACGAGCCGCCTCGACAGGCCCGAAGACATTGGCCTTGAGTTTCCGGTTGTTTTGTTTGATAGTGCTGGCTCTCGAACTCTTGCCCATTTTTGCGGTTTGTGTGTGTAAAGTGAAATTGCTGGCGAAACGGAACTAGCAAAACTTCTTGGTGGTGGTGGTGGTGAATGGGAGCAACTTGGTGAGTGAAGATGGGGCCAAAAAGTCTAGGCACGGATAAGAGCATGGGATCAAAGTTGATTTTTTTCGACGCCTCGATAACCAAAACCCTGGTCCAAGCTCCAAACTTAGGATAAGTACTGGTACTTTTTGGTGGATACCAAATTCCCCTGTCGAACTCTATTCCCGCACAACTTCAGGCAGCCAAGACCTCCAGACCAAATCAACCATTTGTACCCGAGACTTTCTCCGCACTCGGTCGAGGATCCGACGGCGACAGTGGCAGTACCCTTGCAAAAGGGCAACAGTGGACGATCGCTGGTCGTGGGCTTATCTGCCGCCCAACTCCGCCTTTTTGTATCGACGACCACCCTAGAGTTTCGCGACAGCGCAGAGCTGCCGGTGACGAGGGCGTCAAAGTCTAGCAGGTTACACGCGTCTCCGATACTTCATCAGCCATCACAGCATCCAGGATATCGAGTTTGAGCAAGAATCGCTTCAGGGCATCATCAACAGGCTGCGCGCACCCGCTTCTTACCCGTAAACAAACGGGACCTAGAGACCCCGGAGACCGGGAGAGAGGTGCGGTGCATCACTCCTTCCTTCCCTCCTTCCCGCGCCCTCGCCCCGAGAACCCTGGGGTGGCTGCCCTGTTTAAATATTGGAGGTCGGCGGCCTGAATTTGCCGCGCCCTCGCTCTCAAGGACATCGGGCCATGGCCGACAAGACAGCCGAACTGCAGAACCTGACCCGCACCGTCCAGAATCCTGCTCTGCAAAAGACGGTGCTCCAACAGATATGTCAGGTCAATGGCCTCGCTAAGACGGGCAACAAAGTCGATCTACAAAGGCGGATCACCCAACGTGAGTCCCTTCCAGTTCTTTTCCGGTTTACTTGCTATTTATGTACAACCCTACCTATGTTGCGTTTCATCCCACGCTTCAATCGCGCAGAGTGACTAACTGCCTACCTCCAGAATTATCCAGCGTGTCTGAAAAGCAAGATTGGCAGCAGTTCAAGGAACTCCGCAAGAACATTCTGGCGCGTGCCACTCCTCCAGCATCTCGTCCTATAGCCACTCCTCCAGCATCTCGTGCTATAGCCACCCCGACAGCCAGCCTGCGGTAGTTGTTCCGCAAGCTGCCCTCCCAGCTGTATTGTACAACAGTCAGTCGCAATACCAACCACCACGACCGGCGACCCCGCCCCAATATGCTACCATGGCGTCCTCTTATGGCTCTTCGGGTTATCGGGCGGCATATGGCGGCTACAACTCCCACTCGGCCGGGATGCCCATCCAGAAACCACCACCTGCTCGACTAATCGAGCATTTTGCCTTTAAGTCGAGCCCTTTCTACGAGCTGAGGCACCAGCTGGGCAAACCCCGAGAGTTGGAGGGTATGTTGAATTATATATAGAGTTACTGCATCTGCTGACAACGCAATAGTAATGACGAGTCATAGGAACACGGAAAAGATCGAGTTGAGAGGGTCGGAGATGTCTGTGTGCGATGAAAACCCATCCATGAGGGTTCTGGTGTTTTGTGCCAACGGGACAACGCCAATTCAGGACATTGCCTTTCCTTATCAATGCGAACTACGGGTAAATGGCGAGGAGGTCAAGGCCAACTTGAGAGGGTTGAAAAACAAGCCCGGCTCGACGAAGCCTGTCGATGTGACGCACCTGTTGCGCTTTCGACCTCCGAGCTATACCAACCGCATCGAGGTGACATATGCCCTGACTCAAAAGGTGCCCACGGTGCGGCAATCCCTGCGTGGTGACCTTTGGAAACGCTAACATTTTTGCTGCAGAAGTTTTATCTGTCCGTGGTCCTCTGCAAAACGACCACGGTGGATGCTCTGGTGCCGCAGATCAGGCAGAAGATCCGGAAGGAGCACGTTATTGATGAAAGTAGGCACACGGTTATTGTTTGTGTTTGTGGATCATTGCTGATATTTGTTCGCACAGTTACCAAGGCGGCCAGTGATCCAGATGTGGTTGCGACATCGCAGAACCTGAGCCTCAAATGCCCCATCACATACATGCGTCTGACAAATCCATGCCGCGGCGTCAAGTGCAACCACATTCAGTGTTTCGATGCATCTTCCTATCTCCAGATGCAAGAGCAAAGCCCATTGTGGGTGTGTCCCATTTGCAACAAGGTCACCCCGTTTGAGCAGCTGGCGATTGATGAGTAGGTATCCCTGCGGTGGTTGTTCTGCATGTGGTTTGCTGACATGTTATCCAGGTACGCGCGTGACATCTTGGCTCGCACATCGGAATCTACGGAGCAGGTCACCATTGAGCCAAATGGAGAATGGGCTCTTCCTGGTGCCAAAAAGGACACAGGAGTTTCGAAGAGTCAGGAGGCTAGCTATATTGACGACGATGATCTCGTGGTTTATGAGAACCCCAGCAAGCCAATTTACAGCTCTGCACAGCATCCGTCGAGTGCTGCTTATCTGGGGACGCCACAGAGTGGTGCTTCCAGAGACACCTCTGCTGCACCCCGGTCCTCCAGCAAGCGATCCGCTCCCGAGGTCATTGACCTGATTTCCTCTGACGATGAAGATGATGCCCAGTCCGCAAAGCGCCCGAGGTACTACTAGAGGCAGGATATTGATGAAGTGGGAGCACTTGGCGCAACAGTGTTGAGACGAAAACGCTTCCCCCAGAGCCGGTCGAGAGGACGTTACCGGGACTGATTTGCACCGTAAAGAGGAGCATAGCAGGTAAACCCGGCGGTGCACAGATACACAAATCGGGTTTGGTTATGCGGTGTGAATCTGGTGAGTTGGGGACAGGTCTGCTGGTGTGATGTTTTTGATGTGTATAATTACAAAACCCCGGGATTTTTTTTTTTGCATTTCCCGATTGTGGCTGGGCATGGCATTGGCGTTTTGAGCGGGAGCAGTTTTCATTTTGGACGTCATCACAAACGGGCAGCCGGGACGGAGCGGGAGTTGACTAGGCTGCGGGCTAGGGAATCTTGTGCAGCAGGTATTCTTTTCTGCTAGGGAATGAGGGTTGATATACCCATGGTTTGTGGATTGTTTTTAAGCCATTGGTTGCTTTGCGACTAGAAATTTGGTAAATGCTTTATAAAAGGTGGTGTGATTGTGGTGATGTGGTTGTGAGAGTGGACTGAAGTTGGGTGAAGCAATGTGATTTTGTTGAAATGTAACAGCTGGCTTTGGGAGATAGGCATTGAATGTTTCAAGCAGTTGGCATATTTTTTCAGAGTTTAGAAGCACCCAGGATAGATGAGATGGTTAGGATTTGTTTTGTCATCAGGCCCCTGAGATATACGTCTTAGTTGCATATTTTGTATAGTTACATGCGTCTGGCCCCACAGTCCCTGGCTTGGCTTGGCTTGGCTTGGCTCTGTGCTTCAAGCTCCCAGGGAGCAACTGGCGGGGATCACTTCTTGTTCAACAACTTGCATCATCTCGAGCTCCAACTTGCAACAAACAAACCCGCGATTTCTAAACTACCACCTCACCTCCCCGACGCGACATCCTACAATCACCCCACCGCGAACTGATTGACCACATCCAAAATGTCCTTCGACCCCGTCCCCCCACCCTACAACCACCTCGATCCCACCGCGCGCTTCCTCTCGTCGTCGGCGTTGGATTTTTTGTTGATTGAGGTTGTGCCAATGTCGTATCGGATAAACTCAGAGATTTCTGAGGGTGAGGGTGAAGAAGAGGAGGAAAGGGAGGCCGCGTTTTACCGGTTGGAGGGGATAGGGTACCGGGTTGGGCAGGGGCTGGTGGAGAGGTTTGCGAAGGATAGGGAAAAGTTTGGGGACGCGCTGGATGTGATCAAGTTTTGTGTGTAAGGATCTTTGGGGGTTGGTTTTTAGGAAGCAGGTGGATAATTTGAAAACTAATCATAGGGTGAGTTTCTT